ATGCCATTTAAGTACTTTGAAGAAATTGAAAAGGATTTAAAACAGTTTTCATAGTACTTTGTTTATTACAAAATACCTGTATTTATAAATTGAAAAATACAGAAAATCAGAAGTATAAAATTTTTAAAAATTTTATCCTGAGATATGTATTAACATTTTCTTATGCAAGCTGAACATTCCTTACCTGAAAACCAACACTTCAAAATCCAGTGGAAATGCTTCAAAATCTAACATTTTTTTGAGCATCTCTGTCATATAAAATGTTTTGGATTTTGGACGAGGGAGTATGTATTTTGTAAAGCCTATGCAAATAGTACAAAATGTGAAGAACTCCAAAATCTGAATATCTCTGGTGCCAAGAATCCCATGTGAGGGATACTCTTATGTATATCTTTCCTTTTTTTGGTATAATTTTATAAAATTAAACAAAGTTGGGTCATATAAATGCTGTATTATGTGTAATTTTGAATTTTTTTATGTCACTAAGAATTCTACAAACATGGAGAAGGATTTTACTTTTAGCTAGATATTCCATAATTCTACTTTTAAATATCTAAGTTGCTTCTAATGTGTTGCTAGTATAAATTATATAAATACTGCAACAAAATTCATTACATGTACTTTTATTCCTATTTATTTGTTGTCTTAGAATTACATTGTCTTCCAGAAGGTTTGTACCAATTTCACTGGGCAGTATTTGTTAGTTGTCCATTTTACATTTACTTGTAATAGGGATTATTATTTAAAAAAAAAAAACCTTAAATCCTTTCAACAAATCATGGCTTTTTTATTCTTTGAGATGAAGTCTTTCTGTGTTGCCCAGGCTGGTCTTGAACTGGTGGGCTCAGGCTCCTTCTACTTCAACCTCTTGAGCAGCTGGTATTATAATTGTCTAATAAAAGCAGTGCTTTAGGAAAATTGGCTTGATGACATTATGAAGGTTAGATTGGACACAAGCAGAAATGGACAAAGGAGATCAATAACTTTTTGAGTGTTAATAATCGATCTGTGTTAGTATTATTGCTGTGAAATTGGAAAAATAGAGTGAAGGATACTCTGTGACTGATTGTAGGGCTGAATTAAAGGGTATCTAACAGTTTTCTTGTGAGAAATGGAAATATTGGCATCAATTAATTGACTGTCAGATGAGGGATCCATTTTAGAGGTTTAAAGTTTTATTTTAGTTAGGTGGAGCTTTACAAGATAAGATTAGTTGCAGAGTTCAGGGCTTAAAGCTTTGTGAAATTCAAGGCCCAGAGGCACTTTGGAGTTACAATGCTGTAGGAACTAACCTATAAGTTTATCCCTTACTTGGGGGACAAATGAGGGTGAAAGATAAAAGACACAAAGATAATTTTGAATGAGAGGCCAGGGGGCTCTTAGCCTTTAGTGGACAAATAAGCTGTGAGTGTTTGGCTCACCTCTTTTTTTTTTTTTTTTCACTTAGGTATGAGAACAAATAATTAGATTAATAGAAGATTCATCTGCCTCTTGTTATCAATAGCATATACCCAGGTAAACATCCAGATTTCAGCTGTATTAATTCTTCTCTGGAACTTGCAACATGCTAGCATGCCTGCACATTGCCACAGGAGGCACATCTTCCTATTTTTCTCTTTTGTGCCCACAGAGAAGGTCATTTAGTCCTTGATCCTCATTGTCTGGTCTCCTACATTGCCCCCTTTTTGTTTTTGTAATAGCTGCATCTACAGTGAGGTGAGGTGCAGTAGCACCTGTTTTATATGTTGTTGGTTTCCTCTCCCAAGATGGCAGACTATGAACAATAAGACAAATAATTAAGAATCCCATCAATCCCTCATACATACGAAAATGAACCTTCATATAACTGAAGACCAAGCTGATATGATACCTGTGCAAATTAATCCTATTTCTATATTTATTAAAATCCTTAGTTTGTTAATACGTGCCCCATAAGACTGACTTTGTGCTATAGGTATACATACAGTGCATGCTATGATATCAGTCAGAACAGTGAAGAGACTATCAGGCATTCTAGGCAGGCCTTGACAGTGGGCAAGTTTTTCTTCCTCCTGGGTGGTTTTCTTCAGTTGTTCCCATTTTATGGGATCTGAAGCTTGTGTGGATCATAGAGACTGTCTTATTATCCTCTAAGGCCATCTGGGAGAAGGTTCTCACTGGTGGGGAGAATGGAGTCAAGCTCCACCATGGGCACATCATGGAGGGGATTCCTCCATGTTCCCAGAGGGAATCCACACTGTCTATTTCCTGAAATGACACAAGTATATACCCCTGCCCCCATGCCAACAGGGTAAATGGTCCCTCCCATTTCCCCATTCCTAACAACAAATCTAAAGTAATCTCATGTGGTTCTGCTGCTTGATTCTGTCGTGCTTGTTTAGCGGCTAATTCGTGAAAATTAATGTGGAAATGTAAATACTGTCCTGCATAAAGGCAGGACCTAGCCAAATGCTTACTGTCTAAAGGAGCCAAGCATAAAGCTACTAGGAAAGATACTAATAAGCCCAACATGAAAGATCCTTTTATTTATAACACTGGATTTTGATTCTGTAAGCAACTTATACTCTAAAGGATGGTGCTCATTAATTTCCTGCTGCAGATTGTTAGGATTGGGAAGAATAGTCATTGGAAATGTACATGTCCCAAAGGGCTTTCTGTTAAACTCAGCCTGTCTGACCAATTTTTGATAAGGAGGCAATACTTCTGCGTTGGCCACAAGTGGAAAGGAAGGAGGAAAAGGAAGGGACCAAGTCTTTTTCACCCTCATTTTTACCTTCACTCAAGGGTGCACTATGTGTGGGATGTTTTCCAGCAGTTAAAGGACAAAGAACTGCATAGACCAAGCTCCACATGGAGAAAGTTTCAGGGGTTATAACAGAGCCCTGGCCTTGAGCACACCCCAGACATTCTCCCACTCAATCCCAACTTTCTACATCAAATGTGCCAGTCTGAGGAAACCAATGGTTATGTTTGATAACATTTTGTAACATATGAGAAAGTAATTGGGTACTGACTAATGCCATATTGACGCAACAGAATTTCCAATAAAAGGACATAATGCTGGACTTGAATCGATGAATTCTTTCCCATAACCCTGGTTGAGAAAATTTTTTCACACACTTACTTCTCATTTTCTTACTGGCCAGCTTGACTCATCTTTGCTGCAGAACTCTCTGTTGCTTATTCCTTATACCTTCTGCTCTGGTGGACCTTCCCAGGTCAGGTACCTGTTTGGGCGCTCTTGTAGGGAACAGTATACAAGGTTATCCCTGATTGGGGGGTGGGGTGGCAAGTAAGGATAAAAGACAAAAGACACAAAGATAATTCTGAATGAGGGGCTTGTGATTCTTCGCTTCTAGCAGACAAAAGCCATGATCATTTAGCTCACCTTTTATTCCCTTAGGCACAAGAACAAACAGTAAAACTAATAGATTTGTCTGCCCCTGCTTATCTATAGCATATACCTGCGCAAACATCCAGATCTCAGCATATTGATTCTTCTCTGAAACTTGCAACATGCTAGTATGTCCACACATTGCCAAAAGAGGCACAGCTTGGTGTTTCTCTCTTTTCTACTCAACAGAGAAGGTAAATTAGGCCTCATTCCTCATTATCTGATCTCCTGCACACAGTGAGAGGTCATGGCAAGATGTAACTAAGAGCAGCTTCAGTCTTTAGAGAAGACAGAAAATAAGGAGAGGTGGTGGGAAGTACAGAAAATGAGAATGTCTGGCTCATGGAATGGGCATAACTAGATGGTTGTGAAATGGACAGGAAATGAAAGTAATGTGGATCTATTAATTTTAGTAGTATGATAGTGAGCAAGAAGAGAAAAGTAGAATTGAGGAGAGAAAAACATTGTAATGTTTGAAGGAATTGGGGAAGTTACTGTTAGAAGGAAGTACTGTTACTATTGTGGGAGAAGAACACAGGAAATCCCTCAGAAGGATGGATTCCTTTTGCCAGAGAGCAAGATCAA